TATGACTTTTGATTTATATGAATCCACTTGGATGATGGATTTATCTGTTCAATCCTCAAGTGTTGTAAAAAAAATATCTCCGACTTCATCATTTCGATCATTCTTATTAATGCTCTAAATGGAGTAATAGGCATCCCACTTAGTCTTGCCTCATTTGGTGGAGACCCGCCATCCACAAATTTTACTTGAAATTATATCTATATAAACCCTAGAATGACAGTCTATTCAACTTAAACTGGACTCATATCAAGCATCCTATATAGAGTAAGTTAATATATGAAGCATCCTATATCTAAAGCTTCGTTACATGGTTGGACTGTGTATAGCTTCCTCATCCAGATAAATTGGGTATTCTACATGTATCAGCCATCCTAATATATTCTTACTTCTTAGTTTTGAAATAGTAAAAACATGCAGCAGCAAATAGATAACTCTCACATCGACTGTGAATCACAATAAATTTGTACTTTTGCTTGATTTTTCGATACCATTCATTTTATTATTGCTCTTGTAATAAGAATACGTCGTTTATCCCTAACGAAACACTGTTGCAATAATTTCATTGTGATTGATTTAATGACAGGAAACCACGAGAATGGCTAGAAGGGTGATGCTAGTGTTTGCTGTAATGCTACTGGTGATGAGCTCTTGTTTAACGAAAGCCGGGAAGCCACCTGTCATGGACGAAAAGCATGAGCTCGAGCATGAGGAAGAGCAGCAGCAAATGGTAACGAAGGAAAGTTGTCCTGAATCTACGCAGGATAATTATCACCATTGCATGGGCATACCAGACTTCAACAGGCATAACTAATGACGTTATTAGTAAAAGGTTCTGATGATAAAACTCCAAGAATATGTATATATGTAGATATATGGATATTTTGGTAATGAATATGTATAATATGATATGATGTTTGAATAAAACAGTGACTATGGTTTTCCAAATTATATAATGGCATGGGCTTGAAGAATCGCTTCCCAATTAGTTATATCTATATATGGCATATTAATTAATTTATTATTTAGGATCTATTTATAGTGTCTAAAAGGAGGAATAATGTTATTATCATTAGGTGGCAGCATCATCTCTACTAATGATCAATAGCATTTATCAAAATGCAAATAAATATGAAGTATGTGAATTGATAATATGAACTAATTCAAGCTAATATGTTTGTTTAAAACCTTTTTGAGGGCTACAGCTATGTGAGCAACAAGGTCTTGAACAATATAGAGAAATATGTTTTGCACTATGTTGGCATTATTAAGTTGTGAAACCTAATTATTACTGATTCGTTGAGCCAGTATGTGGATCAATCATCTCCATGATGATGTCACTATATTAAGGACAATTTAGAAATTTGTGTTCCCAAGTAAATTTGGTATTAAGATTTTGAGTCTTTATAAATTTAGGTTTTGCCTGATTCGTCTTATAAATATGTATCCATCATTATGCTTTTTAAATTATCACCATAAGAAGAGTGGGAGATATTAGAAAAGATACGTGTGAGCGATTTTTCTTGTAAACTTCTTTTCATCGTAATAAATTATTGTGGCGGCGAGAGATGTACCTCTATAAATTTAGCATCTTTTTTTTTTCTCCTAATTAATTGCCTTTGACGGTATATAATTAGGATTTCTATTTCTCAATAGGCGCTTGTAATCAGTTTGTACCCCTTAGGCCATTTACTCTTATTAGTTTGAAGACTCCAGATCCTCCTAATGTACACACTTCTTTGCTTTAAGATTGGGGTTAGTTAAAACAACCTCTCATTGTCTCAATCCACTCGTTTTCTCTCTAAGACCTCAATGTTTTCTCTCTTAGAGAGTTCTTTTTCACCTAAGGATTAGAGTTTTTTTTCCTCGCTCTTTTTCTGAGTAAGAGACTATGTCATCTCCTATAGGCTTCACAACTCCAACTCGTCTATTATATGCAGATGGTGTGTTTACTTTCTATAAGGGGCACTTTCTCAACATGCAAGGTATCTCAAATGCTTTGAAATTATATAGCTCATTATCAGGTCAATGGGTGAACAAGGACAAAATCTGGCATAATTCTTGGCAAGTCCTTCCCGGCAAGACTCACAGTTTACCCTTATTTCAGTGGCTGGAATACGGAGTGAACAATGTTGTAATTTTGAATCGATCCCTGCTTTGGAAATTCACGTGGAAGTTCATAACATCAGTCTTTTGTCTCACATTTCTGCAAAAAATGTTTGATTCGATCCGAAATTTCGAAATTCACTTGGATGTTCATAAAGATAGGAACATTTATTTTCATAATCAAATGGGTGTTGTCAAACTGTGAAATTGGTATCATGTATGAGGATACGGGGTCTTTGAGTTTCTTCTATTAATTAAGTTTAATAAACGCTTCCTACCACTTAATTAGTTAATTTTGTTAGATAATTAGATTAGACTTAGTTTGTTAATGTTATCACTTCTCCTATCTTTACTGTATATTTATATTCAAATAGATTTAGGTTAGCTAGAAAGTAGGCTATATACTTATTTCTTGTGGAGTCTATACTTGAACTCCATGTTCACGCTATTACTTGTTATGATCCATACACTGATGAGATAATAAAATCAACAACATTGACTCACAGTCCTAGTTAATTCTTGAATTAATAAGCTAACTTAAGGGAAAATAGGCCTTTTGGATGATTAGGCCTGTTGTTTCTGTAAAAGCAAGACTAGGGTTTTCATTCATAATGGTTGTTTTTTGCTAGTTAATGAAACTTTGTGGAGTTTCTCTCGATTGTTTATTCCATCTTCATATTCCGGGTAAATTATTAACATTATATTTGTAATTTTTGTTTCTTACGCTTTCTGGCTGCATCACGCCTTCGTTCCCCCTTCTCTCACTTGTGGCAGCAATACGGGAAGGAAAACAGAAAGAGATAAAGGCAGAACCAAAACCAGTTCTTGATAAAACAGAAACAACCAACGCAACAATCAAATGAAAGCAACCCTAAACTCAGTAAAAGATCAAACTAACCTGCTAATTAACTGAGGGCCTAATTGGCTAATGGCTTAATAAATCCAATGCATAAAACCGAACAAAGTAAGTAGAATGAAAAAGAAGGCAAAAAACTAAAAGCCATGTTTGTGCGTCTCAGTTGCTCACCGTCTGATGGTCATGTTTTGCATGTAACTTCATGTTTTTAACACTAATTCACTCATCTGATCCCATATTGCTTCTTAACAATTTCTTTCTCTTGCTTCCAGTAAGGCACTAACTAAAGTCAACATTTTCAAAAAATACACAAAATCGCTTCATTGTATCCCTTAAATTAATTAATCAATAATCTTTTATATAAACATAATAATGATGGTTGATCTATTCATCGACTTCTTTCAGAAAAAAATCCAGTCATCCACAACACAAACTCCGTTATTGATTACGATTAGAATAGAGTCAATATCCAAAACAAGATTATTGATTATGTATAGGTGCAGTCAGAAATCACTCATGTTATGTCAACAAGTTGCACTACAACACTAGAAAGAAATAATTATATTAGCTATAATAATATGGGAAACCCTAAGACAATATTGGGCGCTGTTAATAATGCTGTCATTTAGATAGGAATATATTATATTCTATATAATTCCAAATTGATGTGGAAAAGAACAATGCTAAATATACACTCAAAGTTTGACATTATTATTGATACTCGATTGTTTTAAAAAATGTGTGTTTTTTCTTTAAAAACTGTTTAATGTGATGTCGCCATTCTATGGAAAAACAATGCCTGTTTTGATGTTTCATGGTCGGACTTGATTTATTATCTAACAAAACTCACGGTTTGCACGGTCAGAAAATAAAGGAATTTACTTCTATTTAGAGAAGCATAGAGATAGCTAATTGACTTGACTTGGGTTTTCAATGGTGTTGTATTATCAGCTAATATTAAAATTTTCATATAGATGTATCATGTATGTAAAAGTCATTTTTAGTGACAATATTGAGTTGAGAATACAGGAACTCCCATTGAAAGGTTTTATACTTCGACCTATTATAGTTGCATTTCATCAGACAAAACCCCTAATTTTTCTTTGGACGGTAAATGTCCAACCCTCATTGTTTGAACATTGTAATAAGTATATTCTCTAAATTGAATATAAGTAAATAATTAAGGGCATCTCCAAGAAACTCTTTATTTATAAAGAACATATTACGCATTATAAAGAACATTTCTAAATTCAAGGTGTTAAAATTTTTATGCACTCTAACAATATTTTCTATTTTGACTCTTCACTTTGCCTTTCTCAATAAACATTTATTGATTTTTCCTCACATTTTATTTAACATAATTTTATATGTCAGTGGCCAATCAATTGAAGCTCTTGTTTGATCCCTATTATTTTGAAAGTACATTTGTCTTCTCTCTCTCTTTTTTTTTTCAAGCACATTCTTCAATAAAATAATATTACGTGCAAACCCAAAAATTTCTCTTATTTTTTAATAACACATTTTCCATCAATCTACTATTTCAAAATGCACTTTTAGCCAAATAACGGGGCTCAAACAAGGCATAAATATGATTTGAATAATTTAAGAAATAAAGTATTGAAATTTGTGATTTATTAAATAGAATCATTATTCATTAAGAATAAATAGTGAATTTGGCTTTCTAAATTTGGAGAGTCAAACTCATTCTCCATTTTAAAAAGTTAAAATAGAAAATCTTTTGAACATATTTTTAAAATAAAAAGCATTGTGTATTTAGAAAGTCTTTCAAGATAAGTTTATTAATATTATCTTCCTAGAGAAATTACATCCCTATCCACAGACATAACCTGGGATAGTAGCAGGATTTTTATTATGACCTTTGACTTGTGATTTATATGAATCCACTTGGATGATGGATTTATCTATTCAATCCTCAAGTGTGGTAAGAAAAAAAACTTTCCTCCAACTTCATCATTTTGATCATTCTGATTAATGCTCGAAATGGAGTAATAGGCATCCCACTTAGTCTTGCCTCATATGGTGGAGACCCCATCCACAAATTTTTCTTGAAATTTTAACTATATAAACACTCGAATGCCAGTCTATTGAACACGAACTAGGCTCATATCAAGCATCCAATACAGAGTAAGTTAATATATCAAGCATTCTATATCTGAAGCTTCATTACATAGTTGGATGGGTTGTGTATAGCTTTCCCAAATATATATTGGGTGTTCTACGTGTATGAGCCGTCCTAGTAATCTTACTGGATAAAGAGTTTTAAGATAGTAAAAACCTGCAGGGTCAAATGGATACCTCTCACATAACCACTATAAATTTGTGCTTGATTTCACTCATTTTATTATTACTCTCGTATTAAGGTTCAGGTTTATCCTTAACAAAATATTGTCTCATTAATTTCATTGTGTTTAATTTATTGACAGGAAACCAACCGCGAGAATGGACAAAAAAGGGCTGTTAGTGTTTGCTATTATGCTGCTGGTGGCGAGCTCTTGTTTAACGAAAGCCAGGAAACCACCAGCCATGGCCGAAAAGCATGAGCTTCAGCATGAGGAAGACCAGCAGAAAATGGTAACGGAGGAAACTCCTGGTTATCCTGAATCTACGCAGGATGAAAATCACCATTCCATGGACATACCAGATTTCAACAGGCATCACTAATGACGTCAGAAAATGGTTGGGATGATAAAACTCCAAGCATATGTAGATGTATGGGTGTATGAATCTTCTGGTAACGAATTATGTATAATATGATATAATTTTTAAATAAAACAGTGACTTTGGTGGTCTTACAAACTATATATTGCGATGGGCCTCAAAAATCGCTTCCAAATTAGTATATCTATATATGGCATACTAATTAATATATTACTTAGGAGGATCTATTTAGAGTGTCTAAATGGAAGTGTAACGTTATTATTAGTAAATGTCATCATCAATTTGGGTGACAATGAACACTAGAATTCATTGTAAATATTCACTGCCATCTAGTCTAGTAAGCATCTCTACTAATAATCAATAGAATTATTCAAAATGGTAACATTTACGAAGAACGTAAGCTTATAAATACTAACTATTGAGGCTTGAACTTGTGACCTATCACTTATTAAGTTGTGCTTCCGAATTCTTGAAGTCGTGTTTTATAAAATGACAACTTTGTTAGTGGGTGCTTTTATCTGAATCCTGACAAGTGGTGTTATTGATAAGATATGAAATGTCGTCATTTACGTCCATTAGTTCTTGTATTTTTATGACTAATTAACACCTAAATATGATAAGTATCCATATATTGTGATTTATGTTGCATTTGGATGATCATGGCATAAAATAGAAGGAATGAGCTAAAAAGGACCTAAATGAAAGAAATCAAAAGTTCAAGGACTAAAATGTAAATATTTAAAAGTTGAACCGGACGGCGAAACAAAGGAGTGAAAGATTTGAAGGTAAATTAATGAAAGACTTAAAGTATTTGAAGAAGGAAAACAAGAAAAATAGGCCAAGAAAAGAGAAGATGAAAACTCAGTGACCAAGTTGCAAATAATTTCTAGATGAGACGAGCAATGGGATGAAAATTCAAGAGTGATAGAGGTCAAGTGGATGAGGAAAGAAGTCAAATGGATTAAATACAATCAAAGTATAATCCCACATCAATTTCCAATCGAAAGTTTATGCACTGGTTTTCAGCATCATGTTGGGACCCATTTTGACATGGTAAAACGATCGAATTGGAAGATGATGTCTGAAAAAAAAGTTGTAACCTTTGAGTTAGCTTCCTAGCACACTTTGAATCACCTCAATCGGACATCGAGAAAGAAAGTTACGATCAAAATACTAAAAGTTGTCTGGCGGGAAAACGGTTGTTCTATGCGGTCGTATAGTTCAAAACCAATGCGATCACCTTTTGACCTTCAGAGAACTTTTGGACTGTAAATCATTGTTCTATGCGACCGCAACACTTATAACTATGCGGTCGCATATTTCATTTTCGACACACGATTTTTAGTTTCCTAATTTGAATCAAATACTTGTGAAAATAAATCTTATACACCATATATAAGCCCCAAATCTCGTCTAAAACAGGGACAACGCCTCCAACCCTATTTTTCTCTCTTTGTGCTCAGATCTATGATGTGCAACTAATTTCTTTTGCTTGATCGAAGGAGACGGAAGGCTTGGAACAATTATGACTGTGAGGTCCATCTGATTTTTATTGATTAATTCATATGCTTAGTCTTTAATCTTATTTAGCAATTATTTTTATGATAGTTGTGTTTGATTTCTAGAGTGCACGCTAGTTTATTAATCTCAACAATCTATAGCTAAGTTGAATTTCAAAACTGTAATTGTTAATTGGTTTAAATTATAAAGGAATTAAGATTGATAATTTGCTAGTTGGAAATTATTAAATCTTAGGAGAAGATTTATCTAGGTTAAATGCAAACGCTTGACTTGTGTTATCTAATTCATTGATTTCTCTAATTTGCAAAGTCATTATTAAATTAAATTCTTGCGCTTGTCTGGATTGTTTGATAATAAGGATTAATTAGATCGCTTGTTTCTAATTAATTAAAACTAAGGAGAAATAGGAAAATTGTTTCGAATGAAAAATTTATTTTTCATAATGAATGCTGCAATTATGAATTGATGATTATTTGTGGATCAATGACCAGTTATTAATTTCCAACGATGAATGTTGACTTATATCAAGGTTTGTTTTATTACTTACATTTAATTGGGTGATTTGTATTATTTCAAGAAAACCAAAACCCTACATTTTAGTTAATATTGCATCAAAAAGTAAATTAATCACTCTTCGTGCGATCGACCATTATTTCCACTACTATATTAATTTTAAGAAGTATATGTTTTAATTTGGAGTGCCTACGACAGCACGCACCAGTTATTCTGGCCTTTTGATCTGTTTCTTGATGCTTCCAACTATGTAACCCCTCGTCTAGCAGATTTGGAAGAGATCTTCTTGGGTTTTAATTTAATCTCTTCGTGCTCTCTCTCTCTCTCTCTCTCTCTCTCTCTCTCTCTCTCTCTCTCTCTGTGTGTGTGTGTGAAGAACTCCTTCATCTTTGTGTTTATGGTTCGATTTCTTTGGGTAGTTTAACATAGAACTAGTGAAAATCCTTTTAATACCATAGCTCTTGTAGTGGTGTGCTGCTGTGAGTTGGTTTTTAAGAATTTAACTGATTCTTGTGAGAGCAGTTCGAGTTTTTTGGAGATTTTAAGGATCAAGTCGATTCCTTTGTGGATTCGTAGTTTCCTTCGTGGATCTTTTTTAGATAAGTCTTTGTGACTTTGTTCTTGTACTTTTATTGGAATAGTCGTGTATTCTTGTTCAATAGTGATGACTTTGTGTATTTGTTCACTTACCAAGAAGAAACTGAATCTAAACATAGTTCCTATCATTAAGCCTTGAAATCAAAAGATTTTAAGCAATGGTTGAGTGCTATAGAAGAAGAAATGTCTTCCTTATACAAGAATAAAACTTGGGAATTAGTTGATTGACCTAAGGATAAGAAGCTAGTTGATTGCAAGTGGATTTATAAGATAAAGGGAAATGTGGCACTAATAATGTTAGATATAAAGTTAGGCTTGTTGCCATGGGTTTCATACGAAAAGAAGGTGTAGACTATGATTAGATTTTTCCCCCGTGGTTAAATATACAACTATAAGATGCATTCTTGCTTTAGTTGTACAATTTAAATGGAAACTTGATCAACTAGATGTAAAAACTGCATTCCTTTATGGTGAATTGGATGAAGTGATCTACATGAAACAACCTTTAGAATTTATTAAAGGAAATCTTGAAAAAATTGTGTGTTAATTGAAAAAATCATTTTATGGCCTAAAACAAGCTCCAAGACAATGGTATAAAAAATTCGATTAATTTGTATTGAAGCTTGGATTTAGTATAAGTAATTATGATACATGTCTTTATTGTAAAGGAAGTGGAGGTAAAGATGATTTATATCTTGTGCTTTATATTGATGATATGCTTCTTGCTAGTGCTAATAAATCTGAAATTGATAATATCAAATACAAACTAAAATCAGAATTCGATATGAAGGATCTTGGTTCAGCTAAGAAAATATTTGGCATGCAAATTATAAGTGATGAGAAATTTGATTACTTGTTCTTAAGTCAACAAGAGTATGTGAATAAGATCCTTAAGAGGTTTAATATGTTTGATTATAAATCTGTGACTTTACCCTTGCTAATCACTTTATACTAACATCTGATTCATGTCCCAAAATTGAAGATGAACTTGAAAGCATGTCAAAATTACCTTATGTTAATGCTATTGGTTCAATCATATACTTAATGATTTGCACCAAGCCTAATTTGGCTTTTAGTATTAGTGTTTTGAATGGATTTATGAAAAATCCTGGTGAAATTCATTGGGAAGCATTGAAGTGGTTATTGAGATACTTAAAAGGGTCCATCTAACTTAGGATTGATGTTTAAAATGGACAAAAGAGGAGGTAATTTTAAAGGATTATTCAGATTCTGATTCGCTAGAAATAGAGACAGTAGAAAATCGACTTCATCTTATTTTTATACTTTGTGTGGTACCGTGATAAGTTGAAAATCTCAGTTACAAAAAATTGTTACTCTATCTTCCACGGAGGCTGAATATATTGCAGCCACATGTGCCATTAAAGAAGTCATATGGATGCATGGTTTGTTGAATGAACTTGGTTTTGTAGACACTAATCCAATACTGTATTTTGACAATCAAATTGCAATACATTTGAGTAAGAATCCTATGATCCATGATAGAACAAAATATGTTGATGTAAAATACCACTTTATAAAGGATATTATCTCAAGAGGGTTGCTGAAAATTAATAAAATACATGCTTTGTATAATCCATCAAATATGGGAACTAAGGTGATACCTTTAAATAAGTATCAAAACTGTTATAGATGTTATCTATTGATTCTTTTCATTGATTGTACAAGTACCATAGAGCAAATGACATTATAAATGTTGGTGAAGCTCCTAGTTGCACTATAGCCTAAAATTTAGAAGCAATGTTGTTGATGCATGAACCTGTGACCTATCACTTATTAAGTTGTGCTTCCAAATTCCTGAAGTCGTGTTTTATAAAATGACAACTTTGTTAGCGGGTGCTTTTATTTGGATCCTGACATGCGGTGTTATTCTGGCTGTTTGATCTGCTTCTAGATGCTTCCAGCTACTTAAACCTTCTGTGACCCCTCCTCTTGGCAGATTTGGAAGAGATTTTTCTTGGGTTTTGATTTAGTCTCTACGTGCTCTCTCTCTATGAAGAACTCCTTCTTCTTTGTGATTAGGGTTCAATTTCTTTGAGTATTTCAACATATAAACTAGTGAAAACCCTAGTAATACCATAGCTCTTGTAGTGGTGTAGCTATGAGTTGGTTTGTAAGAATCTGAGTGATTCTTGTGAGAGCGGTTTGGGTTTTCTGGAGATTTTAAGGGTCTAAGTCGATTCCTTCGTGAATTCATAGTTTCCTTCGTGAATCTTGTTGAGATAAGTCTTTGTGACTTTATTCTTGTACTTTTCTTGGAACAATCATGTATTCTTGTTGCCGGTTGTTGGATATTTTAGTACAATCGTGTTTTATCCATTTTAATGGATGCTCAACAGGGACTAGGGCGTTAAAAGTGGTCGCCGAACCTCTGGGACTTCGGTCAAAAAATTCTCTGCGTTGAATTTTTACGTTTCTGCATTTTTCTTTATTGCCTTTGTATTCTGCTTGACTTTTCACTAGCTAATTCAAACTAATATGTTCTAGATATGCT